TAGTATGGTAGTTCACATAATTATTATCATTTCACTATGTAAATTCTATTTCACTATATTTAATTAATGTTAATTATGATTTCAAAAGTAATAAAATGAGTAATTAAGCTGATAAATCACAGTTGGCTTGCCTGACGGTGGCGTTAGGTTCCATCACAACCTATAGTGGATTTTGGGTCATGACAACTTGGTATCAGATGGTTAGGTTCACTTAGGTCTCAGGAGTCATGAGCAAGTCTTGTAGAGTCTTGCGGATCGGTACGAAGATGTTTGTACTTATTTTCGAGAGGCTACAGGGCTGTTAGGAGCATTTCCCTTTTTGATTCCTCGTCGTGCAATTTGATTATGTTGAGGCTTACGCCTTCATTTCCTCTCTATTCATTCTTATATGATGTGGAGTGCTTACTGTCAATTGAGCGTCGAAGAGTTGTAGTTGTACTGCATACGTGGTGCAGGATGTTTTTCCCTGCGTATTCAGGCAGGCTATCATCATCGCCTTGTGAAAGGATGTTCTGTCATTCCAGCTCAATATATGTACTTCCTATGGTTTTGAGGCTATGCACAGATTGCTGTGATGTTCAAGCGTTGTTGTCGCACAATGTTAGTGTTATAGTAGGGTTCTTATTTATGTGTCGAGGCAGTGAATAACTTGAAAGAAGGATTTCTCAGTGCATGATTTAGAGGTTCGGCATTTAATTCCAGCGGAGGGAAGGCAATCGGACTATAGATGTTCAGGTTTTAGTTGATGGAGTAACGAGACTTGATGTTTTCGAGTGTGATGGAATTCTCTTTGTGATGTGGTGTCATTGTCCTTATTTGAACGCATTAAGGTTCATCGGTGTTATGGTCTTCTTTGAATTGCCCCGGGGGAAAGGTGTGGTGAAATAGTGCTTGAGAAACAGTTGTCAGAGATGGCGGCGTGTAGTGATTTTGGAATCAAATCGGTGTTTCTAAATGTCGATGGCTCGAGAAAGATGATCATCGATGAGGCTTAGAACTGGAAGCAATTTATTCGTTATGGTGCTACAGAGATGGGTGTTGATTTGAGGTAGCAATTGGGTAGCGAATGATGAGGAATGACATGATGGATAATGACTAAGCCTAACTGGGATGGTGGCTACTCTACCGAGGAAGATTGAATATGACAAAGAGGAGTTACTTGAAGTGAAGAGGGGTGTGAAAAATGATTGTCGATTTTGGATGCACATGACTTCGAGTTTGGAATGTATCGTCGGATTTTCAGTTGATGTCAATGGGGAAGGAACAAACTGGTACAGATGGTGGGTGAGCATGGGCTCAAAAAGGTTTACTGATTTTGTGATGGTTGTACCCAATGCGGCGTCGTTGGTAGATGTCTGTATGGAAATTTCCATAGGGGGCTTTCTCTTGTAAGTAGGTCAGCGATTGCATAATTTCTGATGAAGCTTCTACGTGGAGTTCTACTTACTACCTAACGGGAATTCGAGTAGGCAATTATGGCTGATAATTTGGGATGTTTTATGTAGAGTTTAACAAAAGATTTTGGGAAATTTGGCGGCTGACGGAGCGAGATCATGGTGATAGAGAAGGAGGAATCCTTGTGGGTTCTACATTATGTGATGGTAGCTTAAAGCTAAGTGGGGTAACCCCCCCCCCCCATCTATGATTGGATTGCGTAGTTGTCTGCTTGTGCGGTTTCGGGTTATCAGTGCATTGGTGGATTATTTATGACTAAGAAAAAGAAAACATTAGGGATAATTCGAGCAAAGAACTTGATGAATGTGTGATATGTTTCGCCTAACCATTTAGGTGCAGGTTTTGGTAAGGGTCAGAGTTTATTCTTCTGTTGGATGTGACATACAAGGAAAAGACTTCATCTGATTGCTTCTATGAGGGGGTGATCATGTACTAGCAGAATGTTGGAGTTTTGTTATATTCGGGACCAGTTTAAAGCAGGTGACCCTCAACAACGGTCCTAGTGGGTTCAAGAATTAAAGTGTAGTGCTTAAGGATTTCGGGTCCGTTGTGTGGTTAAGGATCGAGTTCTTGCAAT